TGCCCATTTGTCTCCGCCTCTACCGGGGATCGAACCCGGAACCTCAGGACTACGAATCCGAAGCGCTGTCCACCCAGCTGTGAGCTTCCATGATTCATCGTTTTGTTTCTTACTCTTTTAGAACAACACCAAATTTCTTGGGAAAACTACGTATTCCGACGGTTCAGAGGTTAATAATGCAGCTTGTGCAATCCTTCAGGCCAAAAGATACATGACAGACTAAAGCGTTACATCTTGCTGAAATGCAAACTGGAGCATTACCCCTTTGTATGTCTCGCTGTTTAACCCCTCAAGGTTTTCTAATTTGGCTTGTGCCTAAAACCTATAATCCAGTTCAACTCTTGGGCGATAATTAGAACCCTTATTAGCTCTCCTCGTTTAGTGAATGCAATCACTCGTGGGCATCGATGGACAATAGGGCCGTTTCTAAAGTAGCCCTGTCCCTCCTCCCTACCTACCTTGAGGTTGACCAGACTACACACTAGGAGGTGAAGGGACGACGACGTTTCGGTCCGTCCTGGACCATTCTCAAGTCGATTGAGAGAGTGGTCCACAATCGACTTGAGAATGGTCCAGGACGGACCGAAACGTCGTCGTCCCTTCACCTACTAGTGTGTGGTCTGGTCAACTTACTTTAGCCATGTTATTGTGACTCATCGTAGCCTACCTTGAGGTGTTTTCGGGGCTTAGCGTCCCCGCGGTCCGGTCCTCGTGATTAATACATGTCTAGTAAAGAGTAAAGGCATGTTACTGGGTGCCAAGCACACCCGATTTCAGATTTCATGACTACCACTATTATAACACCTGCTGCTCGGTGTCAACATGTGTGCACACGCCTCTCCTGACAAATATTTGGCTACCATCCGGCCACGTCATTAATTACCAGGCCATTAGCTTGTCACGCTAGGATTAAGTAGCCTTAAGTGTCTTGTTCTATAATGTGGCGTCTCAAATGTAAGGTCACTCTCTTAAAATCTCTTGTTGAAAATGTGATGGTGTTAAACATTTCGTATTTTTCAAAGCTCGTATTGTCCTATATTTTCCCCAGATGTGCCTCAGTTTTAGGTTGTAAATGTTTCAAAGAGCACAAGTTCTGTTAACTTCTATTATATTGTTTAAACTGCATCCCGGTGATCCCGTTCTATATAAAACAGTTGTTGAATACATTTATTAGTAAGACTCTAGTAATGGCAATGTCTTCTCAGACATAGTATAGGGTAAAAAAACACTTATGTATTTGTGAAATTTATGTAAGGAATTTACAGTCTCTCGCACTCTCCTGAGTGCTTTGTCAAGGCCTGAGTATGTGATTAGGACAAGACTTTTGCATCTCAACGTTTAAATCTAGTCGTTGATTTAGATCTAAATCTAGACGTTGACGTCTAGATTTAGACATTGAGATGGAAGTCTTGTGCTAATCTCACACTCAGGCCTTGACTAAGCACTCAAGAAAGTGCGAAAGACTTGGTGTAAATTCCTTGCATAAATTTGACAAATACACAAGTGTGGTATTTTTATTCTACTTTCACTAATCTAGATTTCATCACGTATAATGAGTAGTTGGTAAGTATCACTTAGTGACAACCAATGTCGTCAGTGCAGGCGACGAGTCACAATAACGTGGCTAAAGTATGATGACCAGACCACACACTAGAAGGTGAAGGGACGACGACGTTTCGGTCCGTCCTGGACCATTCTAAAGTCGATTGAGAAATGGTCCAAGACGGACCGAAACGTCGTCGTCCCTTTACCTTCTAGTGTGGTCTGGTCATCAATGTCGTTAGTGTTATCCATGACACTTTGCAGTGTCAAGGATAACTTGTTTGGTACTAGCTTGTCAGTTCTCTGGGCCACGGCTGTTTACCCGGACCCTTGATTTGTGTTGTGCTTCACGGCGGCTATTTCTGCTGCTGTGGCTGAGCTCTTGCCGCCACCACCACCACCACCACACGACCCTCGCCACCTTCCATTTTCACCGCAGTAGGTGGGTGGGGGCGGATGGCAACGCTTCCGGGGTGAGGTCTTGCAAGGTGACCCCGTTATGGTTAGAAATAGCTGACCTAGCCTAGTTCAGCGAGACTCGCGGGTATCACTGGAATGTGGCATTTGGTGATAGATGCCTTGCGCTTTGATACTCGTATTTGAATAATTTCTCGTATGTCGCCTGCATCTTTTGCCAACCAAATGTGCCACCAACAACTTGATTGTAAGCAAATATGGAATAAGCGAGAATATCTGATCGGATAAATGCAGAAAAATTGGCCGGATTGAAGAGGAATTCATGTTTTCTCGGCATGCTATAATTACTAACTGGAATAAGGTGTTAGTTCGTGGAATGTGCACTTGAAAAAAGTGAGTGAGGGGCTGCAGCTGCATACGACTTCTCTTGGGAAGGATTGTGGCACACTTCACAGAACTTGCAAAAGCTAGCTTCTTGGCCAAGCAGACGAGTCGGAGGGTAGAAATAGCCTAAGCTACTCTTATCATTTTGGGATGCATTTTATGTCTTGACTTACTTGAACCTAAGAGTGAGGAGGGGCTGCATAAGCTTCAGCACCCACTGCCTGATGCAATTACTACGGCCACAGCTCCTCGCCCTTACTACGAACACTGGCAGGTCTCCAGCTGGCCAGCCTTGGACCCACCGCCAACACCAGCACCACCACCACCTGCTCCACCAACACCACCACCTGCTCCTCCAACACACATCGCGAAAAGAAATTGAGCCTTTGTGCACCATAGACCCGTAATTGTAGCAGCTTAGCAGCACACACAGAACACAAGACTTAGGAAGCTGCGCTAGGCCTATAAACCCATTCTAGGTAGCTCCTTTATGTCTACCCAAACTTTTATTTGTCTAACCTACTCTTCAACCAGTCGAGGCATCCCACATTTGTTGCTCTATTTGTAACACGAATCTACTTCCAAACCAGCATTTACCCAGGTTGTTCAGTAAACCCTATTTACTCTGCAACCTGTTTTTCGCATAACCCGTTTAACTTGACCAAATACTATTCGTTGATTCTCTGTTGTATACAAATACTGGTCGCATTCAGGTAAATTTCGATACCCCCTTCTGATCGCTGGACAAGCCATCCTATTGGGAGTTGACCAGACCACACACTAGAAAGTGAAGGGACGACGACGTTTCGGTCCGTCCTGGACCATTCTCAAATCGATTGTGGGAATCACAATAGACTTGAGAATGGTCCAGGACGGACCGAAACGTCGTTGTCCCTTCACCTTCTAGTGTGTGGTCTGGTCAACATACTTTAGCCACGTTATTGTGACTCGTCGCCTGCATCCTATTGGGTCTTGCCGAAGGAATTAACCAAAGTGACGGCCAAATGATCCTGATCATTGTGCTTACTGCCAGATACACTTGTTAAGAGTAACAAGTAGTACATTCTTCACACGAGACTGTGCTGCTGCTGCTCCTCGAGCTGCCATTACTCTGATATCGTCAGTGAGTAGCACGCCAACCCTTCGTATTACACAATATATTCGGTATAGAGGGTGGAAAAAGGAGGGAATATTTATATTTTAAGAATATTTCACGTTTATATTAAAATATGAAATAGATGCGAGTGGACCATATTTACTTTCCTCAATGAGCTACTATCTCTAAGAATATGTAACTTATTCCTAGACCGCGTCACGCCTGCCATCCACGATCATTTTATATGCCTCTAGAATGACTTGTCTGATTTTTTTTGTCATTATTTTGTTATACAAACAAGATTACATGGAGCTGCACATGTGAAATGGGTGACTCCCAAGAGTGACACATGTGCAGTTTGTCACGCTTGGGTCTTTAGGCGGACCATTCTCCCCCCCCCCCTTGTACCATCATGTGTACACCAGTTGCCCCGGGTATTGGGGTCAATAGGTTTGTGGTGTGCTTGACGGGAGGCCGGGGTGACTCCATCAGCAGCAGCTACGGGCTCACCATAGCCCGTGCTACATGGACACTTCGTTCTGAGTAGCTAAATCTGAAACAACAATCAGAAGCAGTGACGGCTCACTACCATCGTCCCCACCCTTGGCCTCCCCCTACCCCCCCCCCCCAACTCTCATTCCCTTCTGTCTGTTGTTGTTTTTAAGATTTGCTACTCAGAACAATAAGTTCCAGTAGCACGGGCTATGGTGAGCCCGTAACTTACCTGGCACAGGAGCGGGGCAAGAAGCACGGGCTATGGTTAGCCTCGTGGACGGGAGATGTCTCCCATGATAGTACACTATCTGAGTGCTTCTGTCTATGACTTCTGATTAGTATTATATTCATAATACGGTTGCGCGTGATCTCTTAGACAGTAAAGCATAAGAATCTGAGTTTAGATCAGGCTAATTAACCCCTCTTTCTTTGATTTTGCACTAAGGACAAACATTGTAGAGGGTTCGTTTGGCGGCCACACAAACAAAGATCAGTTATTTCCAGTTCAGCTGCATGTGTGTGTACCAATTTTCATCATAGCTAAGCAATGTGTTTTAGTACTTTTAAACACCTGATTTTTTTGTCTTTTTGGGTCTGTATATTTAGTTTCCACCTATATTTCCCACAGTGTTTCGCCCATCCCAGATACTCGAATGCCAGTATAGCGATCGCTCATTCCTAAGGGAAAGCTTCAAAAATAATTAAATAAATAAATATAAATGTTTATTTAGGTAAGGTACATACAAGAGATCTTACAAAGATTGATGGATTTATAGATAGAGCTAGTACATACAATGCCTAAAGCCACTGTTACGGAATGAAAGGTAAATTCCAAATGTCTAACTCGTTCAGAGTGAATATCTGGTAAAGTTTCTCTTGATCTATTTTGGTAATGTTTGTTTGTGATTGTGTATGTATGTATTAACACGATGTACTGAATGGGGTGAGAATAGCTTGAGCTACCTCATCCCTTTGTGTGTATTTTACCTCGATAAACTTATTTCAATTTCTCGATCGACATTTTCATGTATAGTTGTGTATGAACTTTGTAATTTGTGTTGTACAGGTGAATGGCGGGTCGGTGGCGGCTTCGGCAGGGCTGCAGGCAGGAGACGCCATCGTCAGCATAGGCGGGAAGGATGCACTCTCTCTCAGGCACAAGGAGGCACAAGAGGCCATCGTCAGGGCCGGAAACTCCTTCGACCTCGTCGTTCAGAGGTGAGTACACGAACACACGAACTTAGTATCTTAAGGTGTATCGAATGGTGAGTATCTTACACACGAACTTAGTATCTTACGGTGTATCGAACGGTGAGTATCTTACACACGTTGTTGTTGTTTAAGATTCGCTACTCAGAACAATAAGTTCCAGTAGCACGGGCTATGGTGAGCCCGTAATCTTACACAGGAACACACGAAGAGGTGAGTATCTTGCACAGTACACGAAACAGCGTCCACCGGATAAAGGGTCTTTACAAAATGTAATTGTGCTGCCAGTAGTCTTGCTGTGTTCTGCTAAAGGAACTGTTCAATTTGTTCAGCACCGCTGTGGCAGGATTTTGTAGACGCGGTTAAAGGGAACTATTGCACGTTCCTCCATGACCATTCCTGATCCAGGTCGGTGGATTTAACTGATTAGATGTTTAATATGTTCTATCGTCTTTAGTCCTTGATGAACGTTTAACCTTTCACATTTACTATTGGATCGGTACGAGTCATTATCACTCTCGTGAGAAAATAATCCCTAGCTATAAGAAGTTTGTGAGCATCTCAGTCCTGGCGGCTTATTGCATCAGACAAATTTTGAGCTCAGCAGCGCTAATGTTTATAATAAAGATGGGTCAAGGACAGCATTTAGAAGCTCGGAAACCGTTAAATAAAGATTTAGCCAACATGCTTGAGGAAAATGTGGTCTGCTTGATAAGAACATAAGAATAAAGGTAACTGCGGAAGGCCTATTGGCCCATACGAGGCAGCTCCTATCTACATACAAAGATTAATCAGGTGTAATTGGGCTGTTATGTTGAACAGTGTCTTCTGGGTTGGCATCGTTATGTTCTGGTCTTGTCCTTACTCTCATGCTGGGTAGAGTAAATAGTTCCGTGATTTGGGTCAACTGCTAGTGATGGTCCACACTAGTAGAGGATGCTGGCCAGTGTGTGGGGGGGGGGGGAGGGATATTCAATAAACGCGAGTGCCATTAGTGACACGCGCTACTGCTGCCACCATTTAGCCCTAATTTGGTTAACAATGTGAGGGAGAGGCGTCGGGCAGTCTGGTTGTATTTCAACCCCATCACCCTGTCCTACCGCCACACCCATCCTCTCCACCCGTGTGCTCGCCTCTCCCCCTCCCAACAGTAACCCTGTCTCCCCAGGTCTCCTTCACTAGCTCCCCCCCCCCCTTCCCCACCAACAAGAACTTCTCCACTAGCGTCGCCCCCCACCAGCACCCCCCCCCCCCCCACTCTCACCCTTCTGCCCCCTACCAAGGCTGTTGGTGTCCACAAATTCCTCCTCCTCCTCCTCCTTGTCTTGTGATTATACTGCCCACTCAAGTGACGCTCTTGTCACCCGTATTTTGTTGTGCTGTTCGTAGTTTGGTCGTATGGCGTGTCTTGGTGCTGGGTGGTGGTTGTTTGAGTCAGCTACTCCAACAGTTTGGTAGCACGGGCTATGGTGAGCCCGTAGTGGACTTATCTGGCACAGGAGCGGGGCTGTGCTGTGTGGGTGCTGTGGTTTGCTGCATTTTGGGTATTGTGGGTGTAGTGACTCCTTAGTGTCGTAGTGTTATTGTGTAAAGTGCAGTAAATGCTGTATCTGTAGTTCATATGTGTAGGGACTGTGGAATAGTCTACTTAAGTTTGTGGTGTAATGGTGTATAGTGTTCCACTTTGCAAAGCTCCTTGAAATATAAATGTTACAAAGTAGTGACCATTAAATGTTGGAGCGCGTGTAGTGTAGTGAACGTTGAAGGTGTTGAGGTAATACTGCCATGACAGCTTGGGGTCCTTGCCCTGCTCCACAATTTAGTCTGCAGAAGTTACTTCTTGGAACGAAAACCATTACAATTAACTTGCGGCTGTTAAAAATTAAAAGCTTCATGAAGCCAGTGTGACTAGACACGCGGAGAATCAACTGATGTACTTGATTCTTATACCTTTCACTACTGTTTTAATTTGTGTATAATTTGCCCTTCCATAGGTTTAGCGTAAGTAGTGTGGTATACTTGTTTGTGGTATATTTCGTGTATACCGCTTGTAACAGTTACTTTATCATGGGGAGGCTTGAGATAAGATCTGCAGGGCTTAAGGTTCGCCGCCTTCTGGTGCTCAGTCTTCATCTTAAAAAATGCTAATTTAAGGACTGGAGATGGGCATTTGTTGTAATTCATGGCTGGATGAAGAGGGCACGTTTATTATGCATCTGTCAAGTAAGGTTTGTTCCAAGTGACGCGGTAATATTAGAACTGTACCTGTATATGAAACCTTTAACAAAACTTATAATTAATGTAACCAAAGGTCTTTTGGGGGAATGGTTGTTGTGAAAGGTGGTAGGATGACCCGCAACACATCACACGTGGGAGTTATCTTGAGCGGATGAAGTGACCTGACTAGTGGTATCCTTAACATGTGATAACGCGGTGTTGACGGACACGGGAGACATCTCCCGTCACGCAGGGTGCCCTTGCACCTCCACAGATCTCAAGAATCAGCTCTTGATACTGGTAATGGCTCAAAAGGGCCACCACTTACGGGCTATTCATGCCCGTGCCACCTTTTGGATGGCTTAATCTTCATCAATCAATCAATCTGTTGACGGACCACATCTCCATAACTTCCAGTGACACGAACACGCGCGCACGCTCAACTTTAGTACTTCCACTCTGTACTCTACATTACTCTCACCAGACACCAAAAGCGGTTATGAAACGTGACTGTTCCAGAATGCATTATTAAGTTATTGCTCAAGTTTTCAAGTAACGAAGTGTCATGTAGTACGCACGCAAAGTTCCATCATTAGCACCTCGTGGAGGTCTTCCACAGTGAGGCTGATAATGCTCTGGGCTGCTGGCGAGAGTGGTTTGTGACCCGACGTTGATCGTTATCTTCTAGAGTTATGTTGACATGATTTCGGGGCTTTAGTGTCCCCGCGGCCCGGTCCTCGACCAGGCCTCCACCCCCACGAAGCAGCCCGTGACAGCTGACTAACACCCAGGTATCTATTTTACTGCTAGGTAACAGGGGCATAGGGTGAAAGAAACTCTGCCCATTGTTTCTCGCCGGCGTCTGGGATCGAACCTAGGACCACAGGATCACAAGTCCAGCGTGCTGTTCGCCACAAACCCCTCACTTTTTTTTTTTTTTTTTTTTTTTTTTTTTTTTTTTTTGCAAGTCTTTGCTCTGTGGACCTCTACTCCTGCTTCGTCCACACTATTGTTGACGAAACAAGCCTACAAGGGAATTCCTGGTGCGTGTGGAGGACCTGACCTGGCTCCTCTACTGCCACCAATAACGCGGTGCCCTGCTGTGTCACCCTCACCTACCTCAGCATACACGGTGCGTCCTCTGCGGCTCACGTACACACGCTCACTTGCACATAAATTTAAATACGTTTTCACAAACAGCGCATACCCCCCTAGGTAGTATTCACCGCATTTTTTCTACGCAATAAGTACTTGATCAACGAACTTGGTAAGAACTTTAGTCAACATTTTGTTTCGGGGGTTTATATAAAAAAAATTTACCCAGGGTGAGATCGGGGAAGCTGTCTACATGTCCTTAGAATACTCAAAATCTATACACACTGCGTAACCAAGCGAGTGTTGGATGGAAAAGAGGGCATTACATTTGGCGAGGGGGTAGCCTACGCAGGGCACGTGAGACTTGTTGATGGGTGTTGATGGTGGTGTTGAGTGTGTGTGACAGTGTTAATTCAGCGAGGGCATGTGGGCCCGCGGCGTCATTCTACCCCCACCACACACTAGGCCACGGCACGCAAGTGCTCCTTTAACTTTTTACCTATATATAAGTAGTCTTAAAAACTTTTTTCTTGTAGTAATATAAAATGTTAATTAAAATGTTTAGCTAAGTGTAGCCGGCGGGCAGCGTATAAATTTATCGTAGGGGGTCAGGATGTGGGTACCAAGAGTCCATTCTCCCTGCAAAGTTGGCTGAAGCTAGTCCCAAGTGTCCTTATACACATCTATCATTATCAATCTGTCCTCATGGAAGAGATGCCCCTAGAGGTAACCACTTCAAACTACTACACAGATATATTATATATTCCCTAGGTTAAGTTAAGGTTACGTTAGGTTAGGCACCATTGTTGCGTTACTACGGTGTTGTTCGGAAACGGGAATGTAAAATTAAAAAACTAGAGTATACTCTAGAATTTTATGTACAGAAAACCAAATTCTTGAACTTTACAAAGAAAACGAATGACACAATCTTAAACCAACGATTTACCATACAATAAAGTTGGAACTTGAGAATATTTTCTGTTTAGAACAAATGGTTCACTTGCCAGTTTACAAGTAGACTATTATTCCAACTGAAATGTTTTCGGACAATACAGATAAATCGGATTATCTTTATATCAATGAGAAAATCTGCAGGAGCCGGGATGAGGATTTTTTTCAGACCACCAAATATTTAGATAACTGTCCAGCTAGTGAGAGAATGGGTTTGGTGTCTCGTGGTTAATCACTTTACCCTGAGTATGGGCACGTGTGTTGTACTAGCTTACACGGTATATAATATATATATGTGTAAGTCAGTGTAAAACTTAATTATGGTCTTAGTTGGCACTTTAAAATGGTTTTCATGACAATTGGCAAAGGCTTAAATTTATATCAAATGAGATAAGGCGCACATACTCGGAACGTAAGTACGCCATTCACACGTGCAAAAGGTTACACGTCCTCTGATGAATGGACGCACGGACAGGGGAGACATCTCCCGTCACGAAGGGTGCAGTCGCATCTCCACAGATCTCCAGTATCATTTATTGATACTGGTAATGGCTCAAAAAGGCCTCCACTTACGGGCTATTAATACCCGTGCCACATTTTGGGTGGCTTAATCTTCATCAATCGACGCACGGACGAGCTGACTTTGCTGGTGTAGACGGCCTAAAATTAAAGCTATTCCTTCACCTTTCGGTATTAACGATTGTAAACAATGTTCATTCAGTGGCATGTTATGTGACGTAAATAAC